AAGGCCTTGAAGATGCTGCCCTTGACACCAATAAACACAGGAGCACACCGATGCCAAGAGTTGTACAATCCAGGCCTCTTACCACGAAACACTACATAAACTTTCGAAGCATTATTCCTCTTCCTGTGGTCCATTCCTTAATCTAACCCTAAGAAAGATAAGAGATGAAGAAGGAGAAAACAAAGATAGAAAAAAGGGGGCTGGAAAAGCTTTTTAGGTTCGGCCAAATATATTAAGTGTTTAGGGTTAGAAAGTGACCACTTTAGTAGTTTAATTTTTATACGTATCTTTTCTAATTTTTAAACGTATTTCCTCTATCTGTATATTTTAGTGTATTTTGATTAATTGGTATAGTATATGTAAATTTTAGTGTATTTCGTTTAATTAGTATAGTATATGTATATGTGCTTTATAGAAATTGATGAAGCATGCGTCTTGGGAAGGTAAGACAATTAAATTAGTGAGAGAGAATTGTTGAAAAAAATTAATTTAAAACGAAAAATCTGCCAAAGGGTATACATGGAAAACGAAAATGCGCAAATATTTATTATGTCCTCAAAAGCCGTGCGAAGTTACCATTATACCCATTTGGGACGTTGGGACCATTCTTGGTTTGGCCAAATATATTTTCCGTTAAAAAAAAAGCCCAAGTAGGAGGTTTCTGAATACCAAAACTTACCTCATTGGTGGAGATTGAGATCCGTGATCCTCGCTTTTATTACGGCACCTTACTTTGATTTGATCACTTCTTGTACTACACTGTTTCCTCCTCCTCCGCCGCTCAAACATTCACTTCTCCATTTCTTTTCTTAATTTATGTATTACATATCTCTAATGCGCAAACTCACTGATACTTGATCTTAATTCTATATTTATTTCTTTACACAAGATATTTTTACTTACTCAAACATATTTATTTTTATTATTAGGGAGAAAATGATCTTGTACAATATTCAATGTTATTTTGTACTGATCTCATATGAAAAATATCATGTTATTAAAAAAATAGTATTGTAATGCACAAAAGTTGGATTTGTGGAGTAGGCTGTTAGATCTCACGCAATTGCATGGCTTTAACAATACTCAAAATATTACCTTAAAAACATCCACATGAGTTTGGTGACAGAAAGTTGGCTTCTTCTACACTCTTTTCATTCTTTTTGCTCCGACAGTCCATCTACTCGGTATCATTCATGAGATTTTGCCCTTCGCATTCATCAGATTTTGAAATCATTCTCATTCTAAATAGTGGTTTTCATTATTATCATATGGGCATTTTGCACTAAGAATTCTTCCCTTTGGTAAACGATTTCTTGCGATGAGGGTTATGGGCCTTCTAGATTCTTTGTTGGGAAATGAGAGTAGAAGGTTTATCAAGAGAAAAGATAGTGATGCGGGTGAAGCAGGTTTGTCCCCTATTTGCCCCTTTTAGTTAATTAGAATTCTGAATCTTAGAATATATTGTTTTGTTTGCACAGCATTTTTTCGTGGGTTAATATCTACAAATTGGGAGTTAACAATCTGTTCAATAATTATCTTTATGAAACTAGAGTGTGAGTTTAGTAATGCAGTCTAATTCTTTGCTGATTTTTTTTTTTGTTGTATATTGTTGTCTTGATTAGGAGTATATAAGTTTAGCGAGCACTTGGTTTAGAATCAATTATTGCATTTATATGCTTCGATGAGTGAAGGTTCTTAGCACCGAACTCATTGTACTTTCAAAATTATGTGTTTAGAATTCAGTATTTGTTGACATTTTGGTGAAGTTTCACACAAACACGCATTTCTATGTATATATATGTTTAGTTTTAGAAAATACTTGGTTCAGTTGAACCCGTAATGCATAAGCTGCGCGACATCCACACATATCTTGTAGGATTTCTGCTTTTTGACTGCTCTGTATCATTTTGGGTAATAAGGCGTTACCTGGGCAATAATTTTTCTCCACTTAGTAGTACTTAATATACATAATTTTAGCTTCTTTCTAGAACTACTTGTGCTTTTGCCTTTATTAAAATCTATATTCTTAGGATTTTGCTGCTATGGCCCTATTATAAACCAGGTCGAGCATTGGAAGAACTCAGAGGTTCTCTCTACAATGAGCTTCGAACATCAGAAGGAGCAAAGCGTCAACAACAACGATTCTGTGGTCCAGTTGTGGCAATGACCTTCAATTTCATGGTTGCAGTTGGAATAATATTGGGAAATAAACTTGTATGGCGTTCTTTCCCATATTTATCGATTGTGGATGATAGCAATATATGTAACCCCAAATCAAGTGTCTTTAACTGTTGTTGACATGGTCTAGTGTGTAATATGTTATTGGCTTCTAAGCTTGTTGATATGTTTTGCAGGTTATGGGCAGAGTTGGATTTAATTTTCCAATTTTCCTAACTTTTATTCACTACTGCTGTGCTTGGCTACTACTTGCCATCTTCAAGGCTTTCTCATTGCTTCCAGCTTCTCCTCCCACTAAATCAACGCCATTTTCTTCACTCTTTTCTTTGGGTGTTGTGATGGCTTTTGCCTCTGGCCTTGCCAATGCAAGTCTGAAGCATAACAGGTTCCCATTGTGTAAACGTTTTCTCCAAGTCTCAAACCTGTGGCAACTTCTTTTTCCTAACTAGCCCCGACTTGTGCAGCGTGGGTTTTTATCAGATGGCTAAAATTGCTGTTACTCCAACCATTGTCATTGCAGAGTTCTTTCTTTTCAAGAAAACCATATCTCTTCACAAAGTTAGTCGTGTAAAAGCTTTACCAAATAATATCGATAAATCATATTATAGCCCTTCATGATAACATCATCCTGGAATTTGCTATTTAAGTTCAAAGAATGGTGCAGGTTGTGGCATTGGCTGTCGTGTCAGTAGGCGTTGCAGTTGCAACTGTCACAGACTTGGAATTTAATTTATTTGGGGCTTGTATAGCAATAGCATGGATTGTTCCAAGCGCTGTAAATAAAATTCTTTGGTCAAGTCTCCAGAAACAAACCAATTGGACTGCTCTCGCGTAAGAAGTGCTTCTCTTTTCTTTTCATTTAAATACATTATGATAGCAAGTGACGTTGTGCTTGAATATACTTAATGAATACCAAATGTTTTAATGCAGGTTGATGTGGAGGACAACCCCAGTGACGATTTTCTTCTTGGTAGCTCTGATGCCGTGGTTAGATCCTCCTGGAGTGCTATCCTTCAAATGGGATGTCCATAATACGACTGCTATTCTAATTTCAGCTTTACTTGGGTTTCTCTTGCAATGGTCTGGAGCTTTAGCACTTGGGTGAGAGACACTATTTTCTTATTAATGCGAACATTACTTATTTTGTCATAAAACCGTAACTTTTCCATGCAGAGCTACATCAGCGACATCACACGTTGTTTTAGGACAATTCAAGACTTGTGTGATCCTACTAGGAGGATATTTCCTGTTTGGTTCAGATCCAGGGTGGATAAGTATATGTGGCGCCGTTACAGCTCTTGGTGGAATGACAGTTTATACATCCCTTAGCATAAAGGAATCAAGAGAAAAGGCGAGTGACCAGCTCCCGAAGCACAGCTTACCTCCTCAAAAACTCAAGAGCACTGAAGATGATAACTCCAAATACTCACCTTCAGAACACAATCCAAGTGTCGTCTGAGCTGCATTTCTTCCGCTCTTTATTTCATCCTGTTTCCTTTTTTTTTTTGTAGGTACACAGAAGTTAGATCTAATTTGCGACTCACTTTAATCTATGGAACATCATAATGTAAATTTCTGCATTGCAACAAACAAGCATCATGTTAATTGAAGAAAATGCTGAAAGTTTGGCTTTTTAGTACAAAAAGATTCGCAAAAGTTTAGCCAACTTAAACGAAAACTTTCCAAAGAAAAAAGATGTATGATTGAGCCCTGACTGCAATAGGAGCCAGAAATTGGTTCAAGGGGCCTCCTAGGAAACATGGTAAATAGTTTTCCTTTCCTTGTGTAGTGGCTCTTTCTGCAAATGAAGAGGACAACCCTGGACATCATTATAGGTGTTCTTAACGTCAGTAGATTCAGTACATATATTGAAACTTCCTTCCAATTTTATTCTTATGACCCTTCAGATATAGCCTACAAATATACAATATACAAAACAAAATATCTTACTGTAATTACTATCGTGCATTGAGGCGCAGGCGAAACTGAGATAACATTGTTAGAGGATGAATTTAGTGCTTTTAAAGCAAAAATGTGAGCACAAGGTTTTCTGGAAAATACTTGAGGTCTTTTTTCCACATAATATACAGGAGTTTTTTAATTCTGATAACCAAACGATTTGCTTGCCAATAACCATATTCTGTTGTGGAAATGACATCATATAGCCACTTTTAATGATGTTGTTAAGAACATAGTCACAATTTACAATATATTCAAATATAGCCATTTCTCCGCTGCCTCCTCATTTTATATGAACTAAAGCCACATAGAAAAGCAATATACAATAGGAGAGCAGAAGAAAATAGGAGATTGTAAGAAGAAAATAGCATTAACGCCATCCAATGACTATGAGAGCAGAGGCGGATCCAGCATCTTAAGTTTATGGGTTCCTATAAAAATCTCAACTCAATACGATAATAACTGGATTAACGGACTGAGTTCCAAGCTAAATATTCATATACATTTAATAAATTTTTAATACAAATACAGGATCTAAACAAAAGTTACTGGGTTCATGGGAACCTGTAACTAATGCACTGAATCCGCACTTGTATGAGAGTGGCTGTTTGTAGTGGGCCCACCTCAATGAATTCAATGATTTCTTCAATAATGTTGTGGTGGTGAGAAAACGGAGTGGTGAGTAGTTCAAATTCAGCCATTGACCTTACCTAAACTTTTTTGTATAGTGTATGTTACCGGTGTTGTGTGCCGTCGATACAAGTGGCTATATTTTATATACAAATGTTAACTAATTTTAAGCAGCAGCCCCAAAATGTGGCTACTGATGCAAATGCCCTTGTTTTGTGCTGTCCTGTTAGCCAACCCGCCTCAGTTGCATAAAAAGATTCAGAATGAAGATATAAAGAGAATCCTTATGATTCCTTAAAACCCTAAACCCTTGACGCTCAGCCGGACAACTTTGCCCATGGGTTCCCCGACAGAGAGCGAGAGCATGGATACCGAGAGCATATCGACACAAGGGGAGAGCATTGATTCTCCTAAAATAGCAAAGATTTCAGTATGGGATTTGCCGGACGTGCCGCAGGGGAAGTTGCCCCCACACCTCGAGCTCCAGAGGACTCGCGTTATGTGTGATTTTTTAGCTCCCACTAATACCCAGAATATACAATACTCAGGTGCCTATGCTTCTATGGGTGTCGATAACAGCGTGCAGTTCGAGCAATTCCGCAACAATTTCAAAGTGGAAGTTGTGAGACTTGATGACGACGAATTGGAGTTTGACATGATTGGTATTGATCCTTCCCTTGCCAACGCCTTTCGTAGAATTCTCATTGCTGAGGTGCGCACCTCTCTCTCTCTCTCTCTCTCACACACACACACACACACACACGATTGGTTTTGTTTTACTGTTTGTGTTGTTCTTTAGATAAACTATGAAGCTTATTTAATTGAGTTAGTAGTGGAGTCACATTTGATTAGCAAGCCTTTTTTATCGGACCATAAAAATGCAGAGGCCGAGCTACGATTTGAACTATATGGGTTCTAAATTGGGATAGCAATATTATGTGTTAGTAACTGGGTTCTAAGTTTAATATTTTACATAGTCGGTGAATGTTTGAACTAGAGCTATTGGTTTGGCCCAACCCGTTACATACCTTCTACCTCCTCCCCGGTAAAAATGTATTGGTTAATTAAAGGACATGAACGCTGAATGATTGGAGCATATATAATTTTATTCCTCTGAACGGATTATGGCTTTTTTTGGGGTTAATTCCTCTGCCCGAATACTTGCTTGAAATTGTGTTTGGTATTTGATGTATGATAAAGTTTATTTATTTCCGATGTTGCCTCGTCATGCAGGTCCCAACTGTGGCTATTGAAAAAGTTCTTATTGCAAACAATACATCCATTATCCAAGATGAAGTGCTCGCTCACAGACTTGGTCTCATTCCAATTAAGGTCGATCCAAGGCTGTTTGAGTATATGTCAGGTGTTAGATCTTCTTGTAATACCGTATGAGTAGTTAGTAGTTACTATTGTGTTTCCTTCTAATTCCTGAAGGATTTGCTTTTGATAGGAATAATGGTGACTAATTACTTGTTTATGTTTTCCAGAAAATGATGTGCCTAATGAAAAGAATACAATTGTTTTCAAACTCCATGCTCATTGTGAAAAAGGTGGCGATCGACTTAGAGGTACTATTAGTATGCTTTATATCTTGAAAATTTTCTCGTCATTTAGTTTTCCATTGTCTATTCTTTCGTGTGTGTGTGATTCTTCATTTGATTGCCACTAGTCATATGCGAGTTAATAATTTTTTCTGCATTTCTGTGTTAAAAATCGCAGTCTTGTCCAGTGAGCTAAAGTGGTTACCCAATGGCAGTGAATTCATACTGGGAACGGAAAGTCAAGCATCAAATTCGTCTGCGAAACCAAAAACTTATACTTCATTCAGCTGTAGTCAGGATTCTCTACCAGAATTCTCGAATGGCCCAATTGCCCCGAGAGATGCAGATATCATTATAGCTAAACTTGGACCTGGTCAGGTAGCGTATGTTCTTTTATGCTGTTTTCTGTTGAAAAAGCAAAAAACAAAGGAAGAAAATTATTAGAGCAAATGTTTGATTTATTTCTTTTGACATTGTAGTCACTGTTTGATCATCAACTCTTTGCTCTTTTGTTATTTCACAAAATAAGTTGCACTTTTACCAGTGCTTTTATATCCTTTTTGTTATTTGCATTACTAAATGAAGATACTGCTCGACAACCATTTGATACAAATTTTTTGAAGATCTAAAATACCCATCTGACCAAGAATGGGAAATTGCACAAACACCCTTTGACTCCTCCTACGTAGTGCACTAACTCATCCACAAATGTTATTGCTTTCTTGTTTTTCTTAAATAATGCATATTTGTCTCTGTTAAACCAACATTTACTTTGTCAAATTTTAGTGGTAAAAATTCTAAGCAATTAAGGTGTTTAATTTACTTCTGGAGAACTTTTGTGCCTTCTTTGTAGGAGATCGAGCTAGAAGCTCATGCTGTTAAAGGCATGGGTAAGACACATGCAAAGTGGTCTCCTGTGGCTACGGCTTGGTACAGGATGCTCCCTGAGGTTAATAGACTTTTTCACCATATTCGATTTTGTTAATAGAAAATACCTTCCAACTATTATTATTCAAATTTCACTTCTTAAAATTGCAGTCTATCAATTTCAGTAAATGCTTGGTTTTAATCATTTTATTTGGTTAGTGAAGGTTGTATTATTGCGAGATATTGAAGATGATGAAGCAGAAGAACTTGTGAAGAAATGTCCGGTTAAGGTGTTCGATATTGAAGATATTGGTAAAGGTAAAGTGACATTTATCTGTCAGTCGTTGATTTAATTAGGTCAGCAATTGCAGTTCAAAGCACAAAGCTGAAGCAATGTTGATCTTTCCACTGTTCTAACAAGCATTAATGTATAGGTAAAAAAAGGGCAACTGTTGCACGACCGAGGGCTTGCACCCTTTGCAGGGAATGCATCAGAGAGGAAGGTTGGGATAAGAATGTAGCAGTGAGACGTGTAAAGGACCATTTCATCTGTAAGTGTAGTAATAGCAGTGTGTTTAATTGGTTGTGTATTATATGCAGAGACCTCCAAAGCTCTTGGCATCCTTTAAATAGACAAACATCCTTGTCTCCTTATGTATCTACTTTCTTGTGAGTGATCTTAAATTCAAAATTTTTGAGTTTCAATTTCTCTTTGGGGTTTTCTTTTTTTAGTTTTATTATACATAAGGGGGAAGGGGAAGGGGGAATGAGGAAGGGCATTACAAGGTGAAGAATCAAACCCCCTTACCAACAAGGTGAACGTTTAGATAACCAAGATAACCAACCAACTGGACTATTAAGATTTCCCCCGTTTGAGTTTACGGAGGTAATTTTGGTGAGAAACAATAATATATATATATATATATATATATA